ATATATATATATATATATATATATATATATATTTGTATAGGCAGTTTGTTTATATGTAATTGGTTTTACCTTGTTGATATTCCATAAAGATAATTAAAATTGAAAATATAAGAAAGAACGTTGAATTGAAGTTAAGTTGATATTTTTTTAATAGAATGACAAATCCTTTAAAAGTTAAAGTCTGTTAATTAAAAAGAGAATAGGATTATAAAACAATTTAATATTATTGAGGTATTTCATAGAAGTACGTTAGATTCAAATAATCTTAATTAGCATAATAATAATAATATAATGAAAAGTTGTTTGAAGCAAAAGTTTTGTATTATTTTGGATGATATATCTGAATCATCATCTTGATGATCTTCGTGTCAAATATCTAGAAATTTTTATTAAAAGTGTAAGCGAGTATAGATAATTCGTAAATTTGAACTAACTCAAATCAACTCAATGAATTCGAATCGAATTTTTTCAGTATTAAAGTCATATCCAACCCAACCCGATCAAAACATGGTATTGTATAGGTTGAATAACGGTTTCATGTTTTCAACCCGTTACCAACCCAACTCGGTTCGGTTAATAATAATAATAATATTTGAATGACTATTTGCTCAGGACAATATTCATTATAATTTTTATTTAGTAACAAGTTTTGTATTTTAAATTAATAATATTTTAATAATATAATATATTTATTTTAAATTTTATTTTGTATTAATTAATGTTAATTTTTTGAGTTGATAATAATGTAACAAATTAATAAAAAAAAATTTAGAATTTAATTTGTATTATTATTTATAGGTTGATAATATTAAACCTACAACAATGTATCAAATAATTTATATTTATTTTAAAATATTTAAATTTTTACAATAAATAAATAAATATAAATATGCTGACCTAATTAACCCAACCTAATTCAACCTTTTTGTGATCGGATTGAGTTAGATTAGAATTTTAAAAAAAATTAAACAAATCTGATCTCAACTCAATCGGTAAAATTTTGATTGAGTCAAGTAATAGAATTATCCAAACCCAACCAACTTAACCCACTTACACCCTAATTTCCATTGAAGTCAATCATGAGAACTCTTATATAGAGCTTTCAAATTGTAAATCTAAGAAGTTGTCTTATTATTAGAAAAGTAAATTAATGATCTCTTTGAGAGATCCAGCAAATTTCATAAATTTTGTCCTACCTTGTCTTGCATGCCTATCTTTTCAGAAAGATTTTTTTTTTTTTTTATCAGCAAAGAAAGACTGATCGAGTGTCTTACAAAAGAGAGAATTCTTGCGGTGGGAGTTGGTATAAAAACTCTAAAAAGGTCAATCTACGTTGTTCATCTAAAAAAAAAAGTGATATTTGATAATGAATGCTGACAGTTATACGAGGGTATATATGGTTGTAGTAGGCTTTGATATGACTGAAATCACTTATTTGACGCTCACTGTTGAACTTCCTACCCCACAAATAAAATTTTGCCACGTCAATTAACTAAAAGTCACACATATGACTTGACTTTTATATGACTCGTTCTTCGGTTTTCATTCTAAATTCCAATCTAGTATTCCTTTATTGCTGCTCCTTTAATTCTTTCTTTATTGCCATCTCCCGCACCATCTCTCTTCTGTCGCGAGAATCATCACCCACAACCTTCCCTCTTTTGCTGCTCCTTCTTTCTCCCACCACCTCTCTTCCTGCCATGCACCACCACCGACAACCTTAGTTTCTAAAGAACACTCAAAGGGCCTACCACACAAATATTGAAGTTTGATGAAGCTAATGGTATATCTTTCTGTCCAAAGTTTTTTCCATGATGCGGAAGTCAAGCGGCATAGAATGTAGCTAATGAGAATATAAGTTCATCCAATACTTGCGATGTGGAGATAAGGAACACTAAAATATTTGAGTAGCAAAAGTATATCAATATTTTGGTAATGAGCATCCATCACCGTGAAAATTGAAAATGAAATTTAAAAATTTTAATTGAGGAAGAAATTACTAGAATATAATTCATATTTATAATTAGGAATTTCTAAGATATTGTTTAAATATTAAAAAATATCATTTTTAGAATTTGTTAAAAATTAAAAATATTAAATTTATTTTAAAAATTTATCTCCTCTTATAATGTTTGGATATAAAATTAATAAATAAATGATCTTGAAATGTGAAGAATCACTAAACATACAATGGTGGTGACATCTTAGATAAAAGAAATCGTCATGTAATGGAAAAATATCTAAAGTTTCATTGTAACATTTAAAAGAAGGACTTTTAAGTTTTCCAAGAAAATATGTAGAAAAGATTTCTCTAGTTTTGTTAGAAATCTTGTAATTCATTTTGAGATTATAATAAAGATGCCATGTATTTAAGTGTGAAAGAATGAATCATGTTAAATATATTTATGTGATATTTCCTTCTTTTTTTGTGTGTGTTCTTGCGTAAAGAGAAAGAGTTTTTTTTTATTTTTTCAACAGTTTATATATAATTGGTTTTACCTTCTTGCTAATCGAATAACTTCTACAGAGATAAAGTAGAAAATATAAGAAAAAATGTTGAATCGAAGCTAATTTTGTAAAATATTTAATAGAATGTATTACAAGAAAAATAATTTATATATATAGATATTTTGTTCTTATAAACGTGTTAATCATAGATTAAAAAAAAACTACTTTTTCTATAAACATACTGTACTATCCGTATTTCGAAGTCGAGCTCCGAGCTCGGTATCACAGTACGAGCTGACCTCGGACACGCGCTATGTGGCGTCAGCTCGGCACTTAAATAGATCGTAACCGATCTCAGGGAATCTCGGTCTAAGCGAGATTCTCTACCTAATCAAATCACAACTAATCTAAGGCCCAAGGCCCAACACAACCCTAATATACATCAAGGTACGTGCATTATTTATAGGAGATTCATACTCATACAAACCCTAACTTTGGCATCGGAGTCTCTTTTGCAGGTACCACCCCCATCTTGGAGCATCAACGTACCCGTGAAGGAGGCTCACCGATCTTACCCAGTGGATCATCCCTACGATTTCTGGTAAGAACATTTGGCGCCCACCGTGGGGCCGATCAAGACAGCTCTTATCGGCCACGCTTATGGTTTGCACCAGAAGCCATAGCAGACGCGCAACAAACGACCCAGATCATCCATCTACCATGGATAGCGAAGCAGCATTGAGGAGGCTGATCGATCAGGTCGAACAGATGCGGCAGCAACATGACGCCGATCTGCAGAACATGCGTGCCAAGCACGAAATCGACCTAGCTGCAATGCGGACAGCTAATGAAGCTGATCTAGCGGCGCTACGCGCGAAAAATGAGCGGATTCGCACCCAGCTCCCTCGGCGACACTCTGATCATCCTCCTCGTACGAGCAACCACAATGAGGAGGAGGAGCACTCAGTCTCTCAACCCCGGACCGCAACTAGGGCACCGACCCAACGACCTGCCACGCATCGGTCTCATGCACCGACGCATAAGTCGGTCCATGAAGTCAGCAAGGCCCCTACTCATGTCCCAGGGGATCAGGCAACCTTCCGCCGCCACCCTTTTGTGGATGGCATCATGGAGACACCACTCCCTCATGGGTGGAAGCCTCTCCACCTCGATCGCTATGATGGCACGACGGACCCAGATGAGCACATCGACCTGTATACGACGCAGGTAAACCTCTACACTAACAATGACGCTATCTTGTGTAGGATTTTTCCAACCTCGCTCAAGGGGGCCACGCTCAACTGGTATACCCAACTGCCTGCCGAGTCCATTGATAGTTTCGGCACCCTAGTCAGAAGGTTCACAGCGCAGTATGCGACGAGCCGACCTCACCATGTCACTTCAGCCGCCCTGGCCAGTCTCAGGCAAAACGACAACGAACCACTCCGGGCGTTCATGGAGCGATTCGCCGCCACCTCGGTTAAGATCAGAAATCTGAACCCCGAGGTCGCCCTACATGCCATGCTTATGGCACTCAAGCCCGGACCATTCGTTGACAGCCTATGTTGTGAGTCCCCTCGCGACATGGACGAACTTCGCGCTCGCGCGGCGAGCTACATCCAGATGGAGGAACACTCCGCTTTCCGTGACCGGGTTCGCGGAAAAGGACCAGCGAAGCCGGAACAAGGGCACAACAATAAAATCAAAGTCAACAACGACAGCCAGTTCAAGAAGTCGACTAGGGCAAACAGAGGGGGGAGATATGACTTCTACACCCCCTTGAACGCACCTAGAGTCCACATCCTGGAGGAAGCCAACAACAACAACCTACTCGCCCTTCCACCACCAGGTCACACTCCCAACAGCGCCGACAAGTCCAAGCAGTGTCGATACCAC